TTTCGTCATTATTTGGTCAGTAACGTCATTTGTTCTTTAAGGACGTGTATTTAACGTCATGTTTTAAGACGTCAAAATGACTTAGCAAAATGACGTTATGATAACGTTTAATTTACCATACCGATAATATTCACTGACACAGTGAATATTGATCAATAGTGATAATTATCACTATTGATCAATATTCACTATGTTACAAAGTAACCCCTACAGTCACAAAGTAACCTCATCTTACGGTATTATAGACGAATTTCTTTTTCGAATAAAAAGATATGTTTGCTATTCTTATAAATATATTTCCATATTATAATAACGTTATAACATTGCATATTGCAGTGCAATGTTGCAGAAACATTGCAGTGACATTAATTTGAAATATTACTTTAGCAATATTACAGCAATATTTAAAAAATATTATGAATATAATATAATATTTTTTACTTATTTACTAGTTATTTTTGTTACCCAATAAGCAAACAATATTTAAAAAAATATTTGAAAAACATTTAAAAAGACATTTTTAAAACGTTAAAAATAATGGGATAAGTTCTTTTTTCATTAAAATAACGTTTTTTAACGTTAATTTATTAATAACGTTTATTAATAATGTTTCTACAATTACATTATAATATTTTTAAAAGCGGACATTTTATCGTTGCCGCAATCTCAGAACAATGTAGAAATTATAACCGAATCGGTCGTTGATGGAATCACCGGGGATTTCGCTCGTCAGAGTTCGGTAATCGTTTTGACACTAGCGTTTAAACAAAAGGAATAACAAAAATTTATTTGTAATCCTTGGTACAGAACAGAATATTATAGCTTCGGCGATTTGAGATTCGCCAGTATTCGGGCCTCGGTTTCGGTGGGACGCGTCTCGCGAGTCAGTAGGCGGAGCGTATAGTGCAAACGCTGAAGATTGCGGAAGGCGATATTGGAATCTCACGCTGCGAGATGTTCGCGAATCGCGAAGTCAGAGATTCGCTGGCCGCGGGGGCCAAGCGGTAACGGCGGTAAGATCGTGTCGTAGCACGGAGTGCTAAGTATCGTGCGGCTCGCTTGTGGCTGACGTAGTGGCGGCAAGTGTCGAAAACGTTCGACCGAGCGCAACGAACACTGTACTTGCAAATTGGTATAGGATAAGATCGGTATCGAGAATGCTCGATGGGATCCGCGAACGCACTCCTTTGCTTGAAGAACGCTTGACGGAGATAGCGAACACACAATCTCCTTTTGCCTGATTTTCCTGTGCGGATTAAGAAGCGGACGGAAAGGTAGAAACGATACGGTCGAGATCTTCGCTCTCTGCTTTGCAGCATCAAGTTCGGTAGATGGTCCGAATCGGTCTGGTGTCGCTTAGTTTTCGGTCACAGTTTATATACCGAATTTTATATGTTTTCTATGTGGGTTTATCGACGCGATTATTGTTATCACGATTAGACGCGTTTAGGCGAGACGCGTGTTTATGTTTGTATTTGGCCTTGCGACCTTTGCGTGGCACGTAACGCTGGTTACAGTCCGACTGGTGTTCGATCGGACTGTTTTAATAACGATGCGTGTGAGGCATCGTTACAAAATTAATTTGAGAAACTCAAGTTGAAAAGAAAGGAATGCTTAAGCCGCTGAAGTTGCTCGAGACATAGCACAGTTCAGTTGGTCAAAAAACGATTGGCAGCTCGCGGTGAGGAGAAAACATGCACCACTGCCTGTGCTTGCATCGCTGCTCTTACGTCTCAGCATGATGATCTAAAGCTCGTATCAATGGCGATTGCTCGCTCGCAATTATATTTAGGAAATCATTCTATAAAACAGCAAAAACAGCTTACACTAAAACTATAATAAGATTCTGTGATTAAAAAACATAAAAAGAGAAAAAGCGATAGAAAGCTTGTGACGTGAGTCACATGGTGCGATGCGACAAGATGTAGGAATGGTGATGCAAACACGGGCAGCGCGCGCGGCACTTGTTTTTCCCTTCGCCGCGTGCCGCCATTCGTTTCTTAACCAATTGAACCGCACTACAGCTTGAGCGACTTCAGTGGCTCAAGCGTTCCTTTTCATCAGATTTTTTTAAATTAATTTCTTGAATTGCGAATATCATGAAACAGTATGGAACTTTCTTGTTCACTTCAATCTATTCTATGTTTTCGCGAAGAATGATGGTCTGACTTGTATATACACATACACACACATATACATATTCCAACAAGATATTTAGACGGAATTCCTCAGATTTCCTTTTACTGTGTGAGTTCTAGGAATTTATTGATTAAGCTTTTATATTACTTGAAATAATATTTTGTCATTGTAATGTTCTTCCTAGGTAATACTCAGGGTTAGGCAGTAACTAGTTAAAAAGTTAAAAGTTAAGTTAAAAAATTAAAAAGTTAAATGGCTTTAAAGTTAATAAGCTAAATTTAATTTAACATAGTTACATTTTTACACTCTTAACTTTTAACTTAAGTTACATTTTATCGGTAATTATTAACTTCAATTATCTTGAAATTAATCATGCCATAAAGATGTCGCGAGACGTCAAAAGGTTATTCAGTGTAGGAGAGCTTATTTTGGCAATCTTCGAAGAAAAATGTCCAATAAAAAGGACCTCGCACTTATCATATGAAAAAAGTGGTTTCAGTCGAATTGATTGAAACTATGATATTTTGTAACTTATGAAGTACTGATAAAAAATCTTTAACAAAACGTGTGAAAAAATGGACAGTTTTTTATCTAGCGCCATTAGAAAGTTGCTATTTTAGATCTAATCGAATCTTTTTCTACAGTACAGATTGCTTTTTTAACTGTATAGGCATTTATATATAACCATACGTATGTCCATTATTGAATAGATTTATGCCTCAGTGTATATATGTGGTGCGGGAGGGGAGGATGTAATATGGGTGTATTTTGATATGTGTGTATTTGTATCGATTGTTATTCTATTAGTATATCTAACATTATTACATCCAAACAATATGTGTGTGTGTATGTGTGCGTGCATGTGTGTGTGTAATCTAACCTAACTCGCCCAACATACACACACGTACGTATCCTCTCTTCCCACACCGCATATATACACTGAGACATGAATCTATTCAATAATGAATACATGTATGGTTATATATAAATGTCTATACAGTTAAAAAAGTAATCTGTGTACTATAGATAAAAGTTAGACCTACAATAGCAACTTTCTAATAGTGCTAGAAAAAAACTGTCCATTTTTTCATACTTTTTGTTGAAGATTTTTGATCAGCATACCTCATAAACTACAAAAATATTATAGTTTCAGTCAATTCGACTGAAACCACTTTTTTTATATGATTAGTGAAGGATCCTTTCGAAAAAACTTTATTACTTAAATATAATAAGTATCTGTAAATAAAACATGTTTCTGAATAAAGTGTATATTTGTTTTTTCCGCTATTGTAAAACTGAAACCCTGAAGTTATGAAATAAAACAAATTTAACTTTTAACTTTTTAATTACTTTTTTTATTAACTTAACTTTTAATTTAATTAATTTCATCATGGGTTAACTTTATCTTAACTAACAAGAGGAAACACGAGGTGACTGCTCCGGGGATTTTGTTGCGCTTTTTATAGGCTGTTCTTGAATGAACAAAAATGACACATGTCCGGCCGTTTCAGCCAATGGGCCATAATTTCGAAGAAATCGATTTTTAAAAATGACTCTAATCAGCCACGGCAAACTAGATACGTTCGATCGTCACTATTGAAGTTTTATCGTCACATTAGCAGCGGTAGCGCAGTAGGTTGTGCGTTCAAATCTCGTATAGTGCATTTTTTTTTATTATAAATATGTTCTCTTATCTGTAATTATTTATATTATAAATATACACAAAAAATATTATTTATTTAATTATATTTTCCTTGTAAATTAAATTTAAAAATTTTTAAATAATTATTGTAATAATTTGAAAAATCTGAATAAAGAAATATTATTATCTTTATAAATTTCATTTTAATTTAATGTTATTAATTTTTATTACTTTTTGATTGTAATAAAAGCTTATAAATTTTAAAATTAGTAGATAATTTGTTCTCTTATTTGTTGTCTTATTTTTCTTTTTTTCCTTATCAATCACGCAATGATAAACAAAGGTTGTGAAGCTTGTGTCGACATGTCACTCTTCAACAATCCTGTATTATTTAAGAAAATTATTAGAAAATTTTTCGTTATGTCGCTTGTGATCATTCACGTTTTTATTACATTTTTATTTATATGTCCATATGAATAACGACAACGATGATAATAATAATTATTCCATATACATTAATATTTAATTATATACTAATTTGTAAATTTATAAAATTTTATTAAAATCAAATAGTAATAAAAATTAATAACATTAAATTAAAATGAAATTTATAAAGATAATAATATTTCTTTATTCAGATTTTTAAATTTTTACAATAATTATTTAAAAATTTTTAAATTTTATTTACAAGAAAAATATGTTAGTATAATTAAATAAATAATCTTTTTTGTGTATATCTACAATAATATAAATAATTACAGATAAGAACAAATTTTTAATAAAAAAATGCAAGAAACGTGATTTGAATACGCAACCTACTATGCGAAGCCAACGTCTTACCTGCTGCGCTACTGCTGCTACTGTTCAATAGTGACTATCGAACGTATCAAGTGTGCCGTGGTCGACTAGAGTTATTTTTAAAAATCGATTTCTGCGAAACTATGGCCCATTGGCTGAAACGGACACGTGTCGGCTTTTTTTCGCCCAAGAACAGCCTATAAAAAGCGCATCAAAATCCCCGGAGCAGTCACTTCGTGTTCCTCTTGTAAGTTAAATTTTCAAAGCCATTAACTTTAACTTAACTTAGTTAAAAAAGAAGTGAACTTACCCAACCCTGGTAATACTTAATAGACATGTAATATTAGTGTTGTCATGCTTCTGTCCTTACTTAAGTAGTGGCATGTTACAATTTGTCGCTATTGCGAATGCTTTTGCGAAGCTATTCGGTCAATGCGGACGATACGGAATCTGAGCTGGCCGCGATTCCTGAGAGCCCAAAATCTGACAGCACCTTACATGGCAGCAGCGGAGGATCTCTCGGGGAGCTAGAGAATACGGTTCAGAGAAGTGCGGTCCTTCAAGAACCACGCACGTCGATCATATTAGATGAAACAAATGTGATTATTGACCCGAATAATCGAAACAGTAGTAAACTAAGAATGGAATCCGTGACGAAGCCTATATGGTTCTTAGGAAATGAGGATGAATCTTCTCAAGTAATTACGCTGTTTATTAGTGGTTTCTGATAATGATTTAAGATTCCATAAAAATATTTTGTTTTATTCAAGGGATATAAAAAAGTGGAACCTCAAAAGAAATGGAGCGTCTACGAAGGAGTAAAAATGATGGTAACTAGTACATTTTTAACTGGACAACAAGAACCCGCAAAGTTCCACTCTAAAATATCTGCGCTACCAGTAAAAAACGCAAAAGGTCAATTACCGTATAATGGAGATACTATTTCATCGAAACCGTTCGATTTGTCAAGCGCTTTAGCTGTTGCTACGAGCATTTCTCATATTCAGAGGTAAGATTGTTCTTCTGTGTAAACGAGATAAAGAATTTTAATGAAACTAAGAGCATAATTTTTTTTTTATAGAGCAACTCTAACAACTCTTTTTGGAAATTAATATTTTCTTTTGTGCTACTTTTAATTACATCGCGTATTATATTTTAAACTTTTAGATCTGATTCGATAAAAAAAAAGAATAAGCAGGAAGATAAAATAAAGGAGAAGGGAAGAGAGAAGGAAAAAAAAGAAAATGAGACAGAGAAGGTAACAGAAAAAGATGTAGAGAAGCAGAAAGAAAAGGCACTTATTTTGAACACCGTTGGTACTGTCATTAATACCGAATCACCGAATGCGAAGTATTTAGGCAGACAAAAACACGTTGAACAGATCACAATCACAGCAACATCGCCAGTCTCGCCTTGCCAAGTGATCACAGTGACAAATAGTGATCACTCGAGCTCGCCTGCACTGAGTTCTATATCGTCACAAGTTGTAAGCACGGAAAACGAGCAGCCCACTGATGTACTTAATACTTTACAACCTTTGATAACTACTCCAACGGTTGAACGTTTATTGCCTATTGGTACAATAGTTCGCGCAACTGGTAAGTTTTCTTTACACTATTACTTCGTGTTATGTTACGATATATGTAATATAAAAAGCAGAAATTGTCAGAAAGATATGCAATAGATATCGATATTGATATTTTCTTCACTGCATGCGAATGTTTGTTTTTTCTTATTTGCTTTCTTGTACACGTTCAGTTTTGTGATATATATATATATATATATATATATATATATATATATATATATATATATATATAT